GTAAATCCCGTCATCATCTTTGTTACGCGGGTGTCCATTTCGAAAAATTGTTGCTTTAATAATCGATCTCCTTTATCGCCTAATATTCTTAGTGCTTTGTCCGTCCAAAATATACGTTTATTCATTGTTGTCCTTCCTTCGTGTTTCCGATCGTCGATCCAAAGACTTTTCTTAACCTTAGACATTTCATCGAAGGAATTTCCGGTCCACGTCAATGTCACATCCTCCAGTATATTTTCGTCACGTTTCTTGTGTCTGCAATTCACTTTATCCATTAGAAATCGCGTTCTTTTCCCCGCAGAAAGAAAGAATCCAACAGAAAACAATGATAAAAGCCTGTAAAGTACTATTTTTAGCTTATCGCTCTACAATGAATTTCGTTCCGGAAAGAGCCAGTACCTAACGGGTACTTTACGCGGTTCGCGTTTGTTAGTTTGCCAGGCCTGGACTTTTCGCGTGCACCGAAATAAAATTAAAGACAAGTTAGTCAAAATCAATAAAAGTATTTAATAACGATCTAGGAATAACTATTTACAATATTTATAACAAAACAACAAATTTATTTAAACAAATAAATTCCAAAAGTCAACCCGACAAAATTCAATCTTATTCTAACTTACAAGTATTCCCCTTGGAATTCCGACAAAATCAATCCTTAAGTACAGAATTTCTTACTACTACAAATCCTAACCGTCACCTCATTTATACTAGGAACCTTTTTCCAACTCAAGCCTTTTCCTATTCTTCGATCCACAAATCGAAAACTGCAAACGCTTTGGACTATTTCCTATTAGACCCCTCGTTCACTGCTACCAGCAGACTACGCTTAATCCTTTCAGGAGCTCACCTCTGCTTTCTTCACTTGAGCTACGCTATTTATAGTCTGAGGTGACGTCACGGTTTCTAAGTGAGACACACCCCTCATTTACATACTTATACGTAACGTTCACTTTTTTCTTCTATATCTGGTAGCTTAATTCCCGACAATACATTGTTAACCTTTTACAGTCTTTTGTTGAACAATTATCGGGATGTTTCCTTTAAGGTTTAACAAGTCGCCTAAAAGTCTGTGGGGTCTTTCCCCCCCTTTCAGTGCGGGATTACTATCTGCCGCTCGGGCGTGCACGTGAGTGCAAATGCTAGCTATGGCGCCTTCTTTGCGTCGTCGGTGAGTTGGTTTTATCTTCTCTCTTTTTTTATAACTTTCTAAGGTGAGGAAACCTTCGTCCTAACTAAACATAAGCCCCAAACAAAATATAATAAAAGCAAAATAAAAATAACGCTCGGACTTGGTTCCTTACAAGCCAACAAAGAGATAAAATTCGCATTCGTCTGGCCAAACATTTTCGCAAACGCATTCGACAATCGCAAATAATAAACCAATAATACAAAGTTGTAATTTTGAATCAATTGCGCATATTTGGACACGCAAATTCTTTCACAGTACGATAGTCCGACATATCGACGTTTTTGTTCTTGCGGACTTTAATATAGTGATCACCGGATAAAGTGGACTTTGAAGAGTGAACAATTTTGCGTAACAAATTGTAACTTTACTTTTACCTGTCGGCCATCGACATTATTTAACGCCACCATACAAAATGCGTTTAAGCGTTTTTCGTGAAATTTGTCATTAATTACATTGTAAAAGAAAAATCCTTTAACTCCAAACAAACAAAACGCTTTTCCCTCGACTGGAAAACTACTTTTAATTAAAGTACAGTAATACCTCGACTTACGCGAACCCGGAGTTACGCGATTTTCAAATCTCGTCGATTCGTGTTTTGTTTGAGCGCCACGCAACCCTTGATTACTCACTCCCCCCACACTATTGTTCGGCTTACATGTTCGGATGTGTCGCGCCGAATCCACACATAGCTACAATATATTTTGTGTTATTTATTTCTGTGTTTGTTATATCTACGGAGATTCGAGAGACTCTACTATGTCATCCAAACGAAGTAGAACTAATTCTTCTGCATCAAACAAGAAAAGAAAAACTTTATCTTTGGAATGTAAAGTTAACATTGGGTATGTTCGTAAAGTCGAACGAGTTAAGCGAGAATGAAGTCATCGTTATTCCTATTTCGTTAGACTTTTCGAACGATTCGTTACTAACGCGTTTAACTCGTTTGACTTTACGAACGTACCCATTATTAAAGACTTCGATACAAAAATGAAAATTTGTGAATTGGCAAAGAAGTTTGATCTACCGGAATTATCGGCAGAACAATTATAAAAGGCAAAGAAAAAATTCTCGAAGCTGCGAAAAATGCTCAATCTTTAAATTCAAGCGTCATTCGTAAACGTCACGGTATTATCGCTGAAATGGAAACAATGTTAAAATTATGGCGTAATAATCAAGTAAATGTGAAAAATTGTAAAATAATATAGGCCCTAATTTGTTATACATATGTGTTATCTGAGATTTTATTAATCATTTTTTTTCTAAATTATTGTTTTCTTTAGTCTCCGGCCCCAATTAAAAATTATTTGTATGTATTTATATGCAAAACTATACCCCGACTTACGCGAATTCGATTTACGCGGTTACCGCTCGGTCCCACCTATCGCGTAAGTTCGGGGTATTACTGTAATTTCGTAATTGAAAAATTAGGATCGCTGTTAAATAAAATTTCGATTCCTTCAATAAAACTCGATCCTTTGTGTTTTAATAATGAACACGGAGTCGTTGTTTTCTAGTTTATAATAGGAGTACTGTATTCTGCTAGATATAAGCTGAAACAAAGTAAAATTTAAATAAGAAAAGCTAGAATAAATTCCGAAAAATCCGTTTATTATTATTACAGTAAGACCCCGTTTAATGCGGGGGATACGCTCCTAGACGACAAAGCGCTAAACGAAACGGCGTTAAACCAGGTCATTTTAACACAGAATAAATAAGGAAAGGGAAACACGCCACCAAAAGTAAACAGATTTTTACTTTAATTTTAGGTTATTGTTATATTAATTTGCGTAATAATATATGTTAAATAACACACAAACGTATGCACGCGGAAATGTAAAGTTCATTTTTTGCCAGGAAGGTCCCGGCTTTTCCGAAATTCTTGTTTTTTGCGATAAAGTCGCGTAGTTTCGTTCGTCGCTTTTTTCTCTTAAGCAAATGTCGGTAGCGGAAGATCGCATCCGGAACACCTGGTTTGGCTTTCGCACCCCTTTTAAAATCCGGATCGTTGGCTACGATTCGATCGACGATTTCGGTTATCGTTATCAAACTTTTACTAAGGAAATCTGTAGCGAGTTCTTTGGGTTTTTTCCTGTTCTCGAAGGTGGTCGTTGGTAAGGCTCTTACCAGAAACCCGCGGTAACTCCTCGATATCCCGCTCGTCTCCCACTTCGCCGTATCGATTAGGTTGACAATTTGGTCAACCTAACGATACAGCGATAGGCTCTTCTGGTTGAGAATTCTTGGCTACCTTCGGCCATAACTTCTTCCACACTGCGTTCGCGCATTTATCGGTTAATTCTTGCCATGCCGAGTCGATATTGCCTACGGCATCCACGATGTTATATTTTTTCCAAAATTGCACTAAACAAACATAGATTTAAGGAAAATACGGCGCTACGACGAATTGCCACTTCTTGCCGATTGGTTCTTGTTCGGGAGTAATCGTATTAGGCCTATATACGAATCGATGAAATGTCGCGATAATTTGAATCGGCGTAAATTTTGAGCTTTGTTTACGGCTTCGAGCAGACCGCGTTATATCGAATCGACGTTAATCGAGGCAGCGTGTAGCGGGGTCTTACTGTAGTTTAATATGTTATTTTCGTTAGAATCGAAAGTTTCTAAGTGTTTTTAATATATTATTTCGAAAGCAGAGTTTCTGTTGTAAATTTAAAGCAAAAACAGTTTCGGAATTCTGTCGTTGTCACCTTGAATTGCATCAACGACGACGAGGGCGAAAAAGGAAGGCCCACCGAGATTTGAACTCGGACCGCTGGATTCAGAGTCCATAGTGCTAACCACGAATGTGTGAGTCAGTCGCGTATCACTCGAATGAATTGCAAATTGCCTTATCGCCGCATCTGTTGTTTCGATAACGAAGGCTTTTCCGTCTAGACTACACTCTCGCGTAGGAAAGCGAAGCGGTTGACCCAAATCGTCGCGTGAAAAGGAAATACATCGTATATAATAAAAAAATAAAATGTTCTTAGTGTAGGCTCTAGTAACAAGTTCACAAATTATGTCAAGCGCCATCTACGGCAAGAAATGTAACTATTTTGGTAGTAAAATTTTTATTATACCTAAAAAAATCCCTCTTCTTTCTAAGCATTTCTGTGAAAATCGCATCATCTTACTGTAAATAGTTTGCGAGTTATTAACTTTTTAAAATTTCTGTGACTTTTGAATCGCCCTGTACAGTATTTGTTTACCGTAACGCCGCAAACGGGCGATCTGCCTCGGGGAATACCTCCAGGGAGGACTTTCGATAAGAAAAGTGTTCCTATTTAGGTGTTACTAACGTGAAGAAAATCCGGAAAACTCCACGTGTCCGTCCCACTTTCGAGACGCGCACCCACGAAACCAGTGTTCGGTGGTTTTATTCACTCGGCCACTTGTGGAAATGCGTATAGCCTAAATAAACTACTAATATGATTAAAATTGTAACTGTAGTGAAGTCAGCCTACTGCTCTGGGACAACCGGGATCGAATCCGGACGTGATGGACCGAATATGTCGACCCCCGTCCCTCGTCACCCGGTCGCTTTATTGAGGGCCTGGCCGAACCCACGATGGCGTGCTAAAAGAAAGCGGTCCTCTTAGTGCCCACAGGGCGAAAGGAGTTTTAAAAAAAGTGGTCAAAGACCCGCTTTGTTCAAGGTCAATTCAAAGTCAAATCCGTAGTTATAAAGAAATATTTTATAAATAAATTTATTATAAATATTATAAAAAATGCATTAAATAAATAATTAAATAATAAATTGGTAATAAAATAAATTGAATATTGTCTACGTGTACTTTGTGAAACGTGGTGGCGCTGTAGTATTTATCAATTTGTTGACGAGATGCAAAAATGTTAAAACGTTTAAGCAGACTTTTTAAACGAAAATTATTTTTATTAATTTTATTTTTATTGTTATGCTGTTATTGTATTGTAAGCTTTATGAGACAGGTATCGATTTTTTAATAACTTGTTAATATATAAATGATATGATTTAGTGGAATTGTTTAATGATCTTAGCGTAACTTCTACCAAACCGTACGGTTTGCGGGTGTGAATGACATTGTTGGGACCTTAGATTAACAGAGACGTAGACCACGCCCTTAGGAGCGAAAAAGTCAAAGGAATCGTACCTTTATATGTGACCTTTGATGAGATACGGCTCCCGAAATCCCCACTTCCGGGCATTTAGTCGTGCTGCAAGCTCTGCTGTCTCTCGCGTGTTTAACACGTCAGACAGTCCCGCACGGTGTTCGGACATTTTAACGATATTTATTGGTTAAGTATAAAGAAAAATCCGACACGTGACCGTTTGCAAGATATTCGTTTCCAAATGTGGAGCCCCAAAGTTCCCCGTCTTGCTTGCGGACGTTGTGTTTGCAAACACGTTATATGTTGAGCGTGGTGACTAGTGCCTTTAATATAAATAATAAATGCATTAACTTCTACTGACCAAAAACAATTTTTATCTAGAACTGGTAGTACTGCTATTCTCCGTGCACGATCGACGCTCCGCGCGGGGTCGTGCACTTCGGTACTCGCTATCCTTGAACCTTGCCTCCGTGCCCTCTAAAACTATGTAACGTTGAGTACTTCGCCGACGGTCGAGCGAGCTACTCGAAGCCGGAATAGTCGCCCGCGCCGAATAGTTAAACACGATACGCACGGCGTGACTCCCGGTTGCCTCCTCGAAAAAGTCAATTTTGGAAGGCTATATCTTGCAAATGGTTTATTTGGCTTTTTTGCTTCCGAGGGAATGTTCTGTGGCTCGGTTAAGGTCCCGACGATATCGTTCGCATTTGCAATTGCGCCTTGTCGGTTCCTTTTGCAATTTATTCATAGTTTTAAACTGGGCACCATTGCAGATGTGATTCATTTAATAATTAATACAAAAATATGACACGGCACTTGCATTTGTAGATGATACGTCCTAATCCTTGAAATAAATACACACCCTATTTTTAATAAACAAAATAAAATTTTAAATACATGTGTAGGACCATAATGAAGACCTGTATAAACGAGCGATTATTTATTGAGACGTCATACTGCAATTTTTTTATTACAATGCTCTTAATTTTAGTAGTGTCTTGCCCCTGTACGTCATATTTTTCTTGTTAACAATCGAGTCTTGTCAGTTGTCTATCTTACTCTGTTTGGGAGAAAAATTTAGAATTTAAATAATGTGACTTGTGGTCCAAACCGAGTTTGTATATAGTGAATCGGAGCCTTTTGTTCCTAAGCTTTCCGTATCTGGTCTCAACTTTTATCTATCTAGGCCTGCCAGTGACCAAGCGGTTTTCGTACCCCGAACACTGGGAGTTCGTGGGTTTGCGTCTCGCTTGGACGGGCTGACCACGTGGAGTTTTCTGGGTTTTCTCCATGTCTGTAATGCTTAGATGCCAATTTCCCTTAAAAAAAAAAAGACCTCCCAGAAGGCATCCCCTTAGGCAGATTGCCCAAGTTGCATTGCCAACTAACAAACAAACTTTTATCTATCTAACTTTATTTTCAAGATTAAGGAAGACAGACAGACGGATGCCAATGGGAATTTATAGGTCTGCAATTTTTGAAAATTGTAGCCCAATAAAGCACCCCTGTACTTTTAAAGAATCTATACCAGATTTTCAAGCTGTACTGTATGGTGATGGGTGAATTTATAATTACCCCAGGCAACTCTATTTCTTTCTGCTATAATTTTTTCAAATGTAATTATTATATTTAATAATAATAATAATAAAAGTTACATTTATTACAAAGTATATTCATTTTTGGATTTTCATTGTGAAATTAATATAATAGAATTTTGTGTAATTGACTAGTAATTTTTAAGTAAGTTTTATAAATTGCATAGCATGGTAGTGATATGCACAGTCTATTCCTTGCAATTAAATTTTTAATTTGATTATCTGATTTGCTTGTGCCAACGATGTATCTGACATCTAGCAGTATTTGCGCGAACTACATAATGGCGGCTGCTATGGGTACAAAGTCTGTGGTCTGTTAGAATTAGAAAGTGTTCAACCTACAATGGTAAATAATATGTATTGATGTGAATTTGGATGTAAGTCTAAAGGTTCATCAAACTCGGTACATATGCGAACATCCCGAAAAAATAAATTACTGCGAAAAAAGTGGGAAACTTCACTGACAAAAGTGGGAAACTTCACTAACATCTAATTTTGCTGTGCTTAAAATTCTTTTATTTTTACAAACGTTTTCAACCTATCTAATATAGGCCATCGTCAGGTTTAATATTATAAATGTTCCAAAATGGAACGTACTGTTTTTGAATATTTTACATATTTAAAATGTTTTTTTTTTAATTTATCTTTAAAGTAAATTGAAAGTGTATATATTAAATAAATAAATAAAAAGTAAATGTCTTACCTTATTAAATTTTTTTTATAAAAAAAACTTTGTTTCATAAAATGCATCAATGATGAAATATTCTCAAACTGCAAATACTTTATAAACTAATAGGAGACATTATGGTAAGAAGTTATAAAATATTAAAACAAACAACATACATAAAGTATTATTGTTATTTATGATTGTAAAAAAGGGAAGGCACTGAGGTCGGCGTTATGTGTGCGTTTTTTATTCGCTTGTGCCTTCCCTTTTTTACAATATAATATTTTGGCGTGATCGTCAGCAAATTGATTGTTATTTATGAATTTTATTTTTTGAAATTTAAACATTCAATATATATATTATACTCTAAATAGTTTAGATTGTTTCCTATTNCATCTAAAAATAAAAGAATTTTAAGCTCGGCAAAATTAGGTGTTGGTAAAACTGAAGTGAATTTGTTGCTAAGAGGTGGATAGATATGAAGTTATGTTTTAGCATTTCCTCTCCTTATAAGACATCTTTTTCGATCACCCACATATTCTAAAATCTCACAAAGTGTAATCATGACTTAAACAACTACAAAATCAACTAGGATTAATGTCGTACACAAATACAGATAAAACGTTTTCACTTTAGAGAGAAAAGATATTAAAAAGACAACACACACATGTAACTCTTGTATGTTGCCACACACGCTATACCCTTGGTGGCAGCCATTTTGTCGACTCATACGCCACCTATATTTACTGACACAAGTGAATAGATATTCTGGTAGTCTCAACTTCTTCTTCTTACTTTAATATCTAAAGCTTTATTAATGATTAGTATTATAATGAAGCAAAATTTTAGTATACTGAATTTATTCTGTTTCCTAAAAATTATAAAAAGTTCCAAAAACAGTAAAGGGATTTTATTAATAAAATCCAACAAAGTTTTATCTGGAACAAAACATTCAAGACAAAATTTTGACTTTGAAATTTTAAATGATGATACGAGCCATTTAACATCATTTAAAAATTGTTGAAGTGTTTTTTTATAAAAAAAACTTTGTTTCATAAAATGCATCAATGATGAAATATTCTCAAACTGCAAATACTTTATAAACTAATAGGAGACATTATGGTAAGAAGTTATAAAATATTAAAACAAACAACATACATAAAGTATTATTGTTATTTATGATTGTAAAAAAGGGAAGGCACTGAGGTCGGCGTTATGTGTGCGTTTTTTATTCGCTTGTGCCTTCCCTTTTTTACAATATAATATTTTGGCGTGATCGTCAGCAAATTGATTGTTATTTATGAATTTTATTTTTTGAAATTTAAACATTCAATATATATATTATACTCTAAATAGTTTAGATTGTTTCCTATTATGTTTATATTTTTTGTTTTGATGATCTCTATATAGTTGTTGGACTATGTTACAAAATAAATAAGAAAACTTTAAAAGCCAAAGAATGATGATAATCCATTTATATATTGTAAATTCTTAAGGTAGCTGTTTTCTTAAAAGCACAAAATAAAATTGTTTTCTACTGATTTCTAATCTTATGCCTGCTTTATCATTATTATTCATAGATTTATATAATAATTTATCATAGCAGTATATTTTTATAAAAAATAATTTGTTTTAAACGATTTATTTTCATTAGTCTCTCATTATAATAGTTTAACTGTTATGTAAAGAACTTATGTAAAATAATTTCTACAAAAGAATTACACACGTGTTTTAAAACTTATGATGCAGCACTTGCAATATCATAATTTGGATGTATTCCATACCAACAGGTCTCTCTGCTTGAGTATTGGTGAGCACTTTCCATCTATTCTCAACCCATGTTCAACTGCTATATGTATCTTTTTCACCAAATACTTACATCTATTGCTTTGATTTCTAAAAATCCTACAAGTTGTGTATTACCTTGTGTTAGATGTTAATTAATACTGTTCTTGCTATATTTGTCTGCATTCATCTACAGTTATACTTTTTATAGCTATCATTACTAGCAGATATCTTTGTCCTTATGTTTTGGACACATATACACGTATATATGTTTTTCTTGTCAATCATTAACAAACTTTAAGTTAATGGCAAGGTTGAGGCCGAAGTTTTAAACGCAAAAACGTGTACATCGGATGTTAAGCCTAAAGTTTGACAATGGTGTTTGGAATGTCGGGCATGATTCCACTGACTATCCAAACACCATTGTAAAACTTCTAGGCTTACAGGAAAGCGGCACTGAACGTCCGGACGACGTATACACTTTTGCACTTAAAACTTCGGCCATGACCTCGCTAATAATTGCAGAAAAATTCAATAATGCAGTACAAAAAGTTATCTTAAAAAATTCTATCAATGAAAGTATATAACACATTTATTATTATATTAATAATTAAGATTACTTCAGTCTAAAATCAAATATATTTAAAATTTAAATAAGCTCTGTCTGATAATGTTTACAGATCTTTTGTCTAAGAAAATATAAATTTGTTATTAAAAAATTTTGTATTGAAACAAAAATTATTTTTGAAAAATCTAATTAAATATTGAATAGTTTAATATGCAAAGAGTATACTTTTTATTACTGAATTTTATACAGTATTTCGTATATTCATATTATTTTCTTATATTTCAATTAAACTGAATAAGCCAATTTCAACTTTTCACACAAATGTATACTTGATTATGTAATGGATTTTTGTACAATATTGACTAGCAACATTCTCAAATATATTATTGAATAAATATATTTTATTGTGACAGCTAGTCAATTAGTATTTAGAACCTTAATTGAGAGTATGCAGTTTGTAAGTAAACATAGCGTGACATTGCCGTATCGTGATAGAATTGAATTGGAGACAGAAGGAAAGAAGCTATCCCTGCACCTGTTAGGCACAGAAGAGGTGATTCTTGTACAGTAACTGATGGACGTGGACAGGTAAACTTTGCACTTGTCGCCACATGAGAGGCTATCCTCATACCTGCAGGCCATGGGTGAGAATCTTTGCACTGGCCAGGTATGGAGAGATGATCCAAGAACAAAGCAGTCAATGGCAATTCCTATTTTTTATTGCATTTTTGGATTCCACATTCAATTAATGGAAAATGGCAAAGTGTAATCAAAGTCTATCAAACAGATTTTGAGAACGAACACAATCACAATTCTGTAAGCCTCACAGAAGAAGCTTTGCTAATGGCCTACATCAAATATAGTTAGTTAATTAATGCTTCTAGTCCTTTAAATATTATTGTATTAATATTAATCTATTGTGACTATAATCTGTTAGTAAAATTTATATAATAAGTTCTATTAATAGATTATAGTCACAATAAACTAATATTAATAAAATAAACATAGTTGTTTTAACAGCTGTGAAATTTAAATTTGATATTAAAATAATGGTTTTACTTTTAACATTGAAAAATGTATTACTTGGAATTTATTTTTGTTGAGATCTGATTTAAATTAATTTACTTTTAATCAATTTTTCTATTGAGTTTTAAAATATAATATAATTCTCGTTTTTAGAATTTTGCTAATATAAGATTTATTTGAATGTAGACAGACAACTCAAGTTCAGACATTACCGACATTCGTCTTCCGGTACCATCTTTTAACTGGCATCCGCCGTATGATTTTATTAACAATGGAACCGGTAAAGGATCAACTTGTCGTAACTCAATACAAGGAAAAATTTTAATTGCTGATGATAAAGGTAAAAAAAGGAAATTGGGCACATTGATTTTCTGTTTAATTCTAATACAATAGAATCCATTTATTGTACAGTAATTACTTTAAGACTTTTCAAATACTGATGATGGTAATTGGGGTAAGTAAAAGTGACTATATTTAGTGATAATTTTATTCTAATTTTATTGACTCTGATACCAAAAAGATATATTAAAGCAATTCAAAAATATATAACTTGAAGGATTTATTAAATTACCATTATAATTAATTTTGTTATGGTTATAATTACTAATTCTGTGGATGTTAAATGACCTACAATAATACCTGTGATTACAGTAAGTGAATTCTACTTTATAAAGATATAATGATTATGATTTTAATATTTAAACTATTATAATTTTTAAATACTTTCTTTTTTGTACTTGTAATATTATCATCATCATTATGCCTAAAATTAAAATTATTTAATTGCAGGTTAATCATAGATTAAGTTATTGTTTGGATAATTTTTTATCCAAAAATCACAAAAATGATTTTTTATAGAAAAAATTATTTAATATTTTGTATTAGATAACCTAAAATAATAATTATTTGAAAAGTGATTAATTTAGAAATTAATTAATATGGGTACAAAGGTATGCAAATGTATTTAATACATACTTTTTAATTTTTGTGTTTCTTTATATTCGTAGTAATGTGTTTATTTCAACAATCAATAAGTTGCTATAGTGCATATCAAATAGAAACAATAATTTTTGTGTCAACTAATTAATTAAACATAAGTTTCTGTGACTATTTTAGTAATTTAAATAATGTAATGATGTTTATATAGAAATAAATCTCTTGTCTTAGCAACCAAGGAACAATAATGAAAAACATAGAAACTGTATAGTTTTTAAAATAAAATTCTATTTTTTTTTTAAAGGATATGTATGCGAAAGACACCATGTGCTGTCCAATGGATGTTGTAATCCAAAGGCTTCGACGGCAGAAAAATATTTGTGTAAAACGTGTCAGAGTAACGGTTGTTGTTCTGTTTACGAACATTGCATCTCATGTTGTCTGCAACCTGAAAAGGTGAGTGAAATTTATTAATTTTGAACATTTTAATTATTTAATTTATTGAAGTGAAATATTTTATAATTAAAAAAAAATATTAAAAATTTTAAAATTTGTAATTACTTTTGTGTGTTAATGCAAACAATTGTGAGAGCCATTGTACTTTTAAAAGTTTAATTTCATGTTAATTACTTACACTATTTTTTTTTCCCTTGAAGCAATTTAAATACACTATTTCTAATTTTTATTTTCTCAGAAAATATAATAATTTTGTATTTAATATCATTCTTCTTAAAAAGTGTCTGTGAAATATGTGTGTGTATGTATATATAATTAGTTAGCTAAATATAATTTATGGTTTTACAACATATAGCATCTCAATATGTGACAGATTTTTTATTTAGGCTGCAGTTTGAAAAAAATTGTAGATATATAAATTTCCACTGTCATGTCTGTCCGTCTGTCTTTCTTTAATCTCAAGAACAGAGTTAAATAGATTAGATAGATGAAAGACGAGACTAGATACAGAAACCTTTGGCAGGAGGACGATTAACTATATAAGAACTTCCAATGCAAACTGGAAGTCATATTTCAATTCAAAAATTTTCCCTCGGAAGGTGTTAGATAGACGACCAGCATGACTCTATTGTTAAAGGAAAAATATGATGTATGGGGTGAACCACTACTAATTCAAGGTGGAGAGCATATATTTTAAATTAAATAAATTACAAATATGATTAAAAATTGCAGCCCAGCATTGTGATGATGTCTTAATAAATAATTGTTTAGCTATATGTTTTTTCAAATTAAGACAATGTTATCAGTCATATCAAAGACCAATCATATATTTGGGAATATCTGCTATTTGAGTTAATAAGTTAGAAATTATTCCATAAACAAACAAACACACAAACACACACACACACATATATATATATATATTTGTGTGTGTGTATATATATATATTTGTACACACAATAATAATGCAATAAATGCAATATTCAAATAAAAACAAATCTTAATTAATTTGCTAATTTTCCAGGATAGTTTTGCAATGGATGGAGATATGCTGGTAATNATTGAATAAAACGTTATATGAAAAAAGAGATATTTTCATGCTGCTTGTATGATTAATTTCATACAAGCAGCATGAAAATATCTCTTTTTTTGTAATATTATAAAAACAATTTTATTTATTTATGTAGAAAGCATTATTACAAAAGATTTTGGAAAAAGCATCCGAAGCATTCAATGTATTATTTGCATCTATAACCGATCATTTTGAATTATGTCTTACAAAATGCCGAACATCTTCACAGGTTAGTAAAATTATTATTAATAAAAATTAGAAAAATATAAAGTATAAGTGATTTAAATTTGAATAAAATGTATCATTATAGTTGAATTCAGTCACTAGCTTTGATTTTTTTTTTACCAATTGTATTAATGTCATGTCTAAGATTATTAAATAATATACTAAAACCTTCTGGTTAGAATTAGGCATTGTTTACATGTAGGTTTATTTCCATCTGTAAAAAAATATAATAATTACATGAAAATTTATTCAAATATATTATCTTTCTATAGCATATTTAAAATTTGCATCATCTCCCTTCTAACATGCAAATTACAGCTTGTTTTGCACATTTTGGCAGGACAATATGTGGTACTTGGTTGGGGCTCTGGAATATATTAGTCTTTGCTACTGTGCATTTTTACACCTGATCAAGATTCATGAAACAAACTGTAACAACTATGCCATGTGGATTTTGAATAGAAATTATTTCATATTTTTATCAGTTTGTCATTGAAATACATTCATAGTGATTAGTTTATTGTTATACTAATCAGATTGCTTATTGCCACAAGATTTTCAAATGGTACTTAACCAGCAGAGGACCTATGAATGAGAGAACTTTTAATTGCTTAATAATAAAATAATTACTATGGTAACATTCCAATGAAAAAATTAATGTAGATCTAAATCATATTTTTTTCAGATAGAATAACTGGTAATATACTTGCAAGAACTAGACTTGAATGCCATTCTAAGTACAGAGTCCATACAGACCCAGAAAGTCAGGAAATAAGATTTTTAGCTGAAAAAGTCATGGAAAGTTAGGAAATCTGCAAATATCGGGGAATCCGTCTGTCACTCATGCTCCTTTTTGATCTGAACATGTTTTTAAATTTGGTTCAGTATAGGGAGGTCTATGAAAACTGGAGCGACCAAACAAATGGCAAGATTTGTCAAGCTTATATCTCGTAAACTATAAATTATAGTTTCATGATTTAGATTTTGCTGGATAGAAGGTTTATGTCCATATTTAAAATGGTGGGTAATGAGGTATGCAGCTGTATTGTTTGTTTATTAAATTACGGAAACACAACACTTGGGCGATCTACCTAGGGGGATGCCTTCTGGGAGATCTTTTAATGCGTAACTGGTCCCTATTCAGTGTTATACGGACATGGAGAAAACCCGGAAAACTCCATGTGGCCCTCTTGTCCTGGTGAGGTGCGAACCACGACAGAACTTCCAGTGTTCAGGGAACAGAACTGTCAGCCACTGGTAGGCCATGCAGCTGGAGAGGGGTAGAAGTGCATAAACACTGAAAACAATGATGTGATGTGACATTGGGAAGTGAAACTTTGGATAGAGAAGAGATAGGACATCGAAATTGGCGTCGATTTGTACAGAATGACAGGATCTACAATATTATTTAGCAATAATAACTGATAACATAGAATTTAAAATTTAAAAGGAATTAGTAAAGCCCAAAATGACTAATGCTGAACAATGCAGATTTTATAGAGTGTACGAAAATCAAGTCTGTTAATTCCTTCGTGACTATTTTGAGTGTGCTGCCACATGAACCAATAGATATTAACTTGGAATGTGATAACCACCAAGATTTTATTCATTTACAACTTATCGTTTCTCTAGTATTGTATTATTAGACAGATTTACACCTTAAACGATTGTGATTATGAAACTATTGAGTGGTAGTTTGTCACTCACCTTGATAGTGTTATGCTGGAATATCCTTAACAATGAATGTTTACTCTATAAGGCACATAACAACATAACCATAGTGTCATTCCAAGTTTTACCAGTGTTTAATTGTTGAGATATTCAGATACCACTGGATAGCCACATCCTCTACATAAATACTCATGTTATACTGAAGAGGAATCACTAAAATACAATGATTTGAAATGCATATATGCTACAGTGTGAATAAATAATGTTACAAATACTTGCATAGTTAATTTAGTTACTGCAAGTCCAGGCAATTGAAATTCAGAACAGAATATTGTATCAAATTGTTTGGTTTATGAATCAAGAAAGAAATAAGAGAATAGAATTCTTATCAAAAGTCAAATTTAAAAATAAGAATTTAGCAACAGTTATTTTAATATATTAATTTGTAAAAGAATTGTATAATGATAATTAAACTTTTCAAATTATTATGCTAAATTATTTTTGAAAAATCTAATTAAATATTGAATAGTTTAATATGCAAAGAGTATACTTTTTATTACTGAATTTTATACAGTATTTCGTATATTCATATTATTTTCTTATATTTCAATTAAACTGAATAAGCCAATTTCAACTTTTCACACAAATGTATACTTGATTATGTAATGGATTTTTGTACAATATTGACTAGCAACATTCTCAAATATATTATTGAATAAATATATTTTATTGTGACAGCTAGTCAATTAGTATTTAGAACCTTAATTGAGAGTATGCAGTTTGTAAGTAAACATAGCGTGACATTGCCGTATCGTGATAGAATTGAATTGGAGACAGAAGGAAAGAAGCTATCCCTGCACCTGTTAGGCACAGAAGAGGTGATTCTTGTACAGTAACTGATGGACGTGGACAGGTAAACTTTGCACTTGTCGCCACATGAGAGGCTATCCTCATACCTGCAGGCCATGGGTGAGAATCTTTGCACTGGCCAGGTATGGAGAGATGATCCAAGAACAAAGCAGTCAATGGCAATTCCTATTTTTTATTGCATTTTTGGATTCCACATTCAATTAATGGAAAATGGCAAAGTGTAATCAAAGTCTATCAAACAGATTTTGAGAACGAACACAATCACAATTCTGTAAGCCTCACAGAAGAAGCTTTGCTAATGGCCTACATCAAATATAGTTAGTTAATTAATGCTTCTAGTCCTTTAAATATTATTGTATTAATATTAATCTATTGTGACTATAATCTGTTAGTAAAATTTATATAATAAGTTCTATTAATAGATTATAGTCACAATAAACTAATATTAATAAAATAAACATAGTTGTTTTAACAGCTGTGAAATTTAAATTTGATATTAAAATAATGGTTTTACTTTTAACATTGAAAAATGTATTACTTGGAATTTATTTTTGTTGAGATCTGATTTAAATTAATTTACTTTTAATCAATTTTTCTATTGAGTTTTAAAATATAATATAATTCTCGTTTTTAGAATTTTGCTAATATAAGATTTATTTGAATGTAGACAGACAACTCAAGTTCAGACATTACCGACATTCGTCTTCCGGTACCATCTTTTAACTGGCATCCGCCGTATGATTTTATTAACAATGGAACCGGTAAAGGATCAACTTGTCGTAACTCAATACAAGGAAAAATTTTAATTGCTGATGATAAAGGTAAAAAAAGGAAATTGGGCACATTGATTTTCTGTTTAATTCTAATACAATAGAATCCATTTATTGTACAGTAATTACTTTAAGACTTTTCAAATACTGATGATGGTAATTGGGGTAAGTAAAAGTGACTATATTTAGTGATAATTTTATTCTAATTTTATTGACTCTGATACCAAAAAGATATATTAAAGCAATTCAAAAATATATAACTTGAAGGATTTATTAAATTACCATTATAATTAATTTTGTTATGGTTATAATTACTAATTCTGTGGATGTTAAATGACCTACAATAATACCTGTGATTACAGTAAGTGAATTCTACTTTATAAAGATATAATGATTATGATTTTAATATTTAAACTATTATAATTTTTAAATACTTTCTTTTTTGTACTTGTAATATTATCATCATCATTATGCCTAAAATTAAAATTATTTAATTGCAGGTTAATCATAGATTAAGTTATTGTTTGGATAATTTTTTATCCAAAAATCACAAAAATGATTTTTTATAGAAAAAATTATTTAATATTTTGTATTAGATAACCTAAAATAATAATTATTTGAAAAGTGATTAATTTAGAAATTAATTAATATGGGTACAAAGGTATGCAAATGTATTTAATACATACTTTTTAATTTTTGTGTTTCTTTATATTCGTAGTAATGTGTTTATTTCAACAATCAATAAGTTGCTATAGTGCATATCAAATAGAAACAATAATTTTTGTGTCAACTAATTAATTAAACATAAGTTTCTGTGACTATTTTAGTAATTTAAATAATGTAATGATGTTTATATAGAAATAAATCTCTTGNACTTAACATTTCCAAAACACATATAATTTTTTGGGAATAATCTGTATAAACTATGCTATAAACAAAAAATTGTAGGATTACTTACCGAGTGTGCACCGTTCAACGTCGTTGTTGCTTAAGCTTGTTTTCGTCGCAGAGCAGCGCAGCAAACCGTGGCCGCGATTTCTGATGTTATTTTTCTGCGAAAACTTCGTTGAACTTTGGAGACATCATTAATAGAAATAATTTTTATGGTTGTTGAATAAGAAATGCTTCTTTCACAAGAAATGTATAAAATTACAGTGCTGTATTAGACTTACAGTACCTAATTTACATACTGTACAGACGATAGTAAGCTCAACTTACTCGCTTAAACTCTCCGTAGCATGGCGCTGGATGGCGGAAAGTAGTTCGGCTGCTCGTCCGCGATGACGAGTTGGTGATGACGTTTTACCGCGTTTTACATGTCCCTTTTAGTGTCTTTATACGAATATTGTCGCAATTTTTTTGCTCTGTTATAGGAACCCGCATTATAGGTAGTCTACTGTATAGTTATTTCCTAGTGTAGAGCACTTATTTAGATAGTTAAATTTTTATTTTCACATTTAGGTGTAATTTTTGCAGACATTCCTGTTATAATTCTTTAGCTTTTATAGAAAACTACAAAGAATAAAAGGAGGCATCAACTGTGCAGGAATGCTTGATAAATATTTTGCTTAATTTTTAAAATATTTTTACTGTTTCTTTCTGGGCTGCTTAATTAGTTAGTCTAAATTCTCTGTAATTAGTCTTTAATACTATTTTTTGTAATAGGTTTTTGTTTTGTATACAACTACGTTGTACTCTGTCTAAAATTTTTAATTAATTAATAATTTTTTAATAAACTATATTCTTTTTATTTGATGTTGTCATTTTTATGTTTTGTTTTTACTTTTTTAAGTGAATATAAATGCAAAAATTATGATTTCATATGAATTCTTAATGATCATGAATTAATTTATTTTCCCATTGATTGTTAACTTTGATATGTGCAGTTTTGATATACGTTGTATACTTGTGGAACCAATTAACCTCATATATTGAGGATGTTACTTGTACTTATTTTTCATTTTAATAATTAATTAATTTTAATTTTTTAAGTAAGAAGTTTATTTTTCAGCTAAGAAGTGTTGTAGAAGAAGATTTGGCAAGGAAAGTTAAACCCCAATTGAATGATATTTCTCGAAGGCAAGTTTTGATAGAATTACTTGGTCCTCAGTTTACAAAAAAGTATATTCCTAATCAACCAGGGGATCCATTTCCAGTAAGTTGATTTTTCTCAGCGAAAATATAATTTTTATTTTATTGATATGTGCAAATATTACTGCTATTAATAAAAGCATACAAATTCTTAATGACTATAGCATACTAAGTTGTATTAAAAACATTTTAGTGTATAAATTAGTGTATTTTAAGAAAAAGAATGGCAACTGTGTTAAGTTATAATAATTTACAAAGCATAAATATAATAGCATTATGTTAAATTTTATCAATACTGTTGTTAAATCAGTAGAAGTATTTATAAAATTATAGTATATACAGTAGAGCATTGATTATCCGACCCTCGATTAATCGTCACATCAGTTAACTGACCGTTCTAGTCGGCAAATTTCAAATGTCCGCTAGTGATGTGGCACTACAATATTTGGCTACGTCTTGGCTACTTTAATATTATTTTTGTTAAATTTTTGCGTGTTTTAGCTGGCATCAATGGCTCAACCATTGAAGGGAGGCCAATATTTAAATGACACCTAATTTTCTAATTATGAGTGGTTGGTTGTTTCGTGAGCAATAAAATAATTTTAAAATAATTTTTAACGATACAATAGCGACGATTATTATTTTAAAAAATTTGTTATAGGCTTAACATTGGTGAA